TGAGAGATTAAAATTAAGATAAAATGCATTACGCTTCAATTACATCACTTAGATAAACAATTAGTCATCAGAGAAAGAACTTAAATGTATCAAGAACTGCGAACTGAGTAATATTAATAGTAATAGTTATAATAATAATAATAATGCTGAAATGAGTTAAGATAATGCTACTGATAAAAGATAGTTTTAAATGAATCAGGAATAATAATAAGAGGTCGAATAAAGTGTTAATAATATTATTAATAATAATAACAGTTAATGAGTAAAACATATTACCATGGTAGATTCAGAGTGACGACCATTTACTTTTGTAGACAGAGACCTTACACAAGCCTCCTCGATTGCTAGCATGTTCCTGTTAGTTTGTCTGTTGACAACAGTGAATGACTTAACAGCGTCGATATCATGTCCGTTTTCAACCACTTTGACAAATGCTCCATCATGCGAGTGGACAATCGTCTTTATGTACGACCTATGCATTTGCTTCCACAAGCACACTCAAATTGATATACTCAGTTTGAAGTGTAGAGGATTGACGACTGATCTTTCCCAGATTGTTGAAGCATCCGCTTGGTGGCGGTGTTAAGGAGGACGAGTTTTGCAGCATAATAAGTTCTCCTGATAGCTTTGTCGAGTCTTCGTTTGACTACCTCTTCTACATTATCTCCTTTGAATGGCAAATTAATATAAACAGATTTCTTCAGAACTGTTTGGATAGTTTTGCTGGGACTCATTTCTTTAGAGTATTTATTGATGAACTTCTTAGGATATTCATTCTTAGATAAAATATCCTTCAAAGCTTTTATTTCACGTTCAACTGTACTGCCAGAACAAATTTTTCATGCTTTATTGAACAGTGTTCTGACTAAGTTCTTTTTATACTGGATTGGAACGTACATTTTAAAAGGCAGACAGGCATAACATTAGATTTCGATTAGGTTGTTACAATGAACCGAAAGAAGGATATAACAGAGCAAAATGTCTATTTTTCACCTAATAAACCATACTGAAACCAGGTAGTTTGGAACCATTGATGCTTTATGAATTGATATCATTTCTTGATTTGACCAGTATGTACCTTGATGCAGGTATTGTTTTGCTATTATGTAAAACATGTACTCAGATAAATCCATAATCAACAGACAAATTGATATAGGTCGGAGGATTTCATCATGAGCTGACATCAGTTAGAGAACCATTGGAAAACCTGGGATCGGGTCCCAGTGGCTTGATGGTCTACAAGCTAGCTCGCCTTGTAGCCAGAAGGTCCCGAGTTCAAACCCTGGCAGTGGGTGCGTACTGTGAAGAGTCACGAACTAGGACGATAATGATACATGTATACATAAATGTTACAATTAGAGATCAATAATAATGATAGAATGAAATAGAAAAAATGAAGACAGTAAACATAGAATGATAAATGAGCAATATAAATAAAAATTGATTCAAGTATACATTAATATGGTGATGGGTTAAGGATTCATCATGAGCTGACACGGTCAACATTGATACTGCTAGTGAGAATTCCTTGTACAGATGGTTGAACCCTGGCGGTGGGTGCGTACTGTGAGTCCCAAACTAGGACGGAGGAAACAGCTGTCCAATACTCCCTGTAGGTTTTCCAATGGTTCTCTAACTGATGTCAGCTCATGATGAAATCGTCCAATTAATCAAACAAAATCCCTACAAAACAAATACTTGAACATTGATATAGATCAGATTTCAGTTAACCAATGCAAAATATAAAACACATAGAGAAAAGGTCAGATTTCAGACAGACAAAAAAAAAACCAATGACGACAAGGATAAGAAAATCTTCGAAGATTACCAATCATGTTCAAGTTCACTTAAGAGCGTCAGTGATTATTACACATTTCATAGAAGATTCTAAAACTCATTGAAGTGTCAGCCGAAGATGCTATCTAAGGAAGAAAATGAAAGCTTAGCAATTAAACCATTCAACAGAGAGAACGCCACGATAACCAAAAAACACCACCACAGTTGATACTTACATCTCTTCAAATATCTTTCAGTCTACTATATAAAAACACGAAACCAAACCAGCACCATTGATAACAACAATACTCAGTTGAACAGTAAAAACAAATTAATTTAACAAACCAACTCACACCACACAGAAAAATATCACAGAAAGGTGAGAACACAAAGATGATGGTTAACATAAAGTTCTTCAATTAATTATCTCCACCAAACACATACACACACAAGAGTAGTGAAGGCAGAAATAACATACGTGAAGTGATAAAACAATTAATTCCCACTGTATTCCAGAGTAGTTAGTTAGTTACGCAGCAGACAGTAAATCGAGTACACTGCAAAAAAATAATTTGTCAGCAAAATAAAAATAAATAATAAGTAGGCTTGTTTGTCTAGCAGTGATACAACGGTTATTAAACTTCTTTAGTCTAATGTCTCCTCCTAATTAGTGTAGCATAAAAGATATTATGTAATTAGCAATTAGCGAACTTGAAACCAAAAAAAAAAAAAACAACCAAGAAAGTGAAACGAAAACAGAAACAAACAGTCTGAGAAATTAAAGTAATTTGTGTTGTTTATTTATTTATTACTTTCATGAAACTACTTGCCATCGAGTGTTTTTGTTGTCGCCTCTTTTCCTTCTTTTTTGATTTTGTTAAAAGAAAGAGAAAAATAGATGAGAGAAAGAGAGGGTGACAACTGACAGTTAAAGAAAATATCCAAAGGTGTTTATTATTTATCTAAATATAGTCAATGTATACCTGTATTGGCGGGTCGGTGGTTCAACGGTAGAATGCTCACTAACCACCAGCCACGATGCACCCTTGAGCCCCCCACATCCACTAGCTTACCAGCCCATAGCAAGCCGGGGAAAGAGGAAACAACACCAAAGCTCAAGCATGAAGAGCTGTAGGTTTCGTTCGTAACAAAAGGAATGGAGAGGACACCTGTATTATACCAGTGTAGCAGTTAATTTGTGCATAGAGTTTCTTTGAGGGAATTAAACACGTGTAAAACCAACAGTATAATTTGACTGATACAAACTAGTATATATCAGGTTACACAAGGAATTGTATGAAGTATTTGCAAATATAGATAGGATGTTTGCCTACAGTGTTCTATATCAAATGAGCATCAACATGATGATTCTTTCAGTATTACAGGCTTGATATCATTAAGATATGCAACATTTTGAAGGAAAGATAGTGCTTTTGGATTACTGTGTTTATTAATTATGCTATAATTTAGACGAATAAAAAAAAACTGTGCCGTTTACGCCAATATTTCTCAGAGATAAGTACTTCTGTTGATTGTCTGATTTCAGTAGTATGTAGAGTATATTTGTCAAAAACAACTCAGTTTAACATTCGTTATTTTAAACAGGAAAACACGATGAAGTAAGTGAACATACTAGGTGATGAAATCTGCCAATGATCATATGTTTTATCATTTCTTTGCATTTTGAATGGAACATAGGGCTTCAAGCTAGAGCTTTCAAGTTTCAGTAGTATTGGGGTCATTTTCTTCTGGATAGGGTTGCTAGCCTCACGTCCCACCATCCCTCTTTACAGGATTTACTACTAGCTAAATAAGGTTTAGGAGGGCATTGGCCTAGAATCGAACCCCGTGCCACGTGTTTGTTTTGGTTGGCGTTCTACCGCTAAATCACCAATGTACCAAAGATCATAATTAACTTCAAATTGCAGTTTTTAGCAGCATATCAGATTTTCACTATATGTCACGAGAGTTGTTCGCTGTAATAACGAACATATAAACTTATAGATACAAAGACTAGTTCACACATGTTATTTGAAGATGGTGGTTTGATGAATCGCTTTTTTCCCTGATAGTATACTTGTTATTTCACTCTTTTATTTTACGCCCATATTGAATAAATACAAACATGCAGAAGGAAGAAGGCACATGCTGAGGAAACCATCGAATGACATCGTGCGCCAGGTCATTGGTAGAGTGTAACCCGAATGGGAGACGACGATTTGGGCGTTGATCTGGGGGAGGAGACATGGAGGAGGAGATGAGAGATTATGGGCAATAGTGGGCACAGCGAAAGAGGACTGCAGTAAAAAGGACAAAGTGGGGATGTGTTTTTGAAGCCCTATGTTCCACTCAGAACCTAAGGGAACAATCATAATGTAATATATAATTTATTTTCAGAAACACATTTCTCTGTCCCTTTGTTCGTATTAAATCATAACCCTTATTTTCGACTCAATATCAATCACTTACATCAGGGTGATAAAGACAAATATCTTGCATTCATCTCTGACACGTATATGCAAATAGAGATAATGAGATAAAAAAACACACAGCTACTTTAAGGTTTCTTTCAGCTAAACAATATATATATATATCGCTCTAATCATATTACTTAGAGGAAATACTATTGATTTCTACAGTTAATAGAAATGGATGGGGAAAAATTGCCTAAAGGCACGTATGCTTTCATGAATAACTGCTAAATTGTCAGGTCGAATGCATCTAACCACATAGATATGAAACACCGATAATTAAATGAAAGCCTAGGCCTATTTTCACCAATAAATAGTAATTATTATCTAACCAGGTGGAGATGTAGTAAGACTTGACAAGATACTTCACTTCTTTTCTGCCATGCTTACAAACAAAATACAAGTCGAATTAAATCAGATACAAGAAAAGAAAAGCTTTCTAAAATCCCTGAACAGTTCGTGTTTTGATTAATTTATTTAGCGCAACAATAAGAAGATACGTGGTGATACGACTTGTGTTAATAAAATGTAAGTCAACTGAGGCCAGTCAAACATGATTTTTTGCGAATATTTCTTATTTATGATTATTTAACTGAAGAATCCCGCCCCTTTATCGAACTAGGAGTTTTCCAAACAATCAGTTTTATGTGAAAACCGTTCATCCCTTTAGTTTTCCCTAACCACCCGGATGGGAACACAACACCATATACATGGATATTTTAAGGCGATAAATATTTAAAAAAATAAACTTACAACACCACGTTCACCACGACCTCCACTACTATAGGTAACAGCCAGTGTGGATGAACACAATTCTGCATACCAAGGAACAGATCCATGCTCTGAAACTGATCCAACACCCAATGTATAAATACTATTTGTGTATCCATCACAGTTACAATTATCATGGCTTGTACCACCATTCCCACTAGCCCATACAAAGATTGACCCTAAACCTCTTCGTCCCTGTATACAAAAAAAAACAAAAAGAAATATAATATAATAATTTGCTTTATTCCAAAACAGTACTTGTGATACAGAATGGAATTCTCAGCATTTTTACTACAGTATTGCATCCAGTTAGTACATTATCAATAAATAGAATTCTACATAGATTAAGGAAATCTCAGTTCAATGTGACAACAACTAATTGGCATGTCGGTAGCAAAGCCAAAGTTGAACAATGTTTGAAGGTGTTAGAAAAGTAGGTGCTATCATGTTTACTGGCATAAGTGGAAGAAAAAAACAAAGCAGCACATAACGGAAAAAAGAGAGAGAAAAAAGGAAAAGAAAGAAAGAAAATGTTGTACCTATAAATGATATGAGTTGGAAAGACGAGGTCCAGTTGTTCTACTGACTATTTAATAAATTATAGGTGTCACGCCTAATGCTTTCTTTATCACACAGAACACGAGCTAAGTAGGGTATGGTTGAGTTTTTGTACTTGCTGGTGCGAGCACGGAATCGAGAATCGCCTACTTTTACTATTAATGCTGTATGCTTAAAGGAGCAAAATCTACTTTTTCTATATAGATATAAATGTCATTTTAATAAGGGCTGAATTCATTCAACTTTTTAAGTAGTAAATAAATAACAAAGAAGAAAATTAGAGAATGATAATATGAAAATAATAATTTGGATCTTCTTTGTTTTGTTCCTTTACGTCCCAAGAGGAATATACGCCTTCAAGCTAGAGCTCTGAAATTTCAATATCAGTGGCTTTTGATATATATGAAGAAAACTTGAGCACTGTGTGGTAGAGTATAACTCCACTATGGATAAAATTTTGATAAAATTACACACAGTGTTATACAGTAACATTTACTGATGACGTTTAGACTAAAGGAGCCGATGGACCCAATTAAACAAAATAATATAATTTACAAAATACCTTGCAATAACTGTGATTTAAATTGAAAACATTTATTTCCCGGTACGAATTTAAAACAAGCAATAAAGGTTAATAAAGCAGGATTTAATGAATTCATCAAATTTCGGTTGAACTCGTCAGGTGAATACTCTACATACACGGACATATATACTTTTGAAATTACATTGAGTGATATAAGACTGCTAAGTAAACATATCATCTTATTTGAGTGCAATGTACCTTCGTACCTGGAGTTAGTTGAAGAGTTTTTGAACCGTAATGCTTAAAATGAAATGTGTGCATTTTCTTTATTCCTTTACGTTCCCAGTGGAACATAGGGCTTCAAGCTAGAGGCTTGAAGTTTCTGTTGCAGTGGTGATTACTTTTACAGGATGAGGTTGCTAGCCTCATGCCCAACCTTCCCTCTTTACTAGTCTTATTATTGGCTTAGCAAGGTAAAGGAGTGAGTCGACCGGGGATCGAACCCCGAACCACCTGGTGGTGGCGAGCATTCTAGCGTGCCACCAACGTACTATCTATGTGCATCCTAATCACAAATCACCCAATAAACTATTCATCTTGTTACGCAACTGTAATACACTTATTCAACTTCTATGTGTTGATTAACATTAATGACTATGTTTCGTGACAACACATCACCACTACCCTCTTACCAATCTTCACCCCCCCCCTAGTTACAATTTGATTACTCATCACACTTTTGAAATGTCTTGACAACAATAACCCTAACTTATTTTTATTCTTATCGGACAAACCTAATGTACACACAGACACAAAAATAAGTATATATAATTGCGATTGTACAGATAAGTGAATGAATTCGCCAAAAAGAGACTCTTCGCTGAACTACATGTTTTGTTTTCATTAATGTCTGGATGGGGATTATTCATGAAATGAAATATCAACAAGAAAGTTGGAATATTAAACACTTGAAGATGATTATTTAGAAATGCAAGACTATTTGCGCTGATAGATACTTGTTGGTAAAGTAGAGAAAATTCTTGTTCTCTTTGGGATTTGAAACCATATACCTACGGTCATAAAATCTGTGAATTCTCGTAAAGAATGAAAAATGGTAATCGACCAATTAGCTAATACTCTAAAAGTAGCATGTGTTTTCCTGCATAAAACTGTACTGATTTCAATCTCTTCTGGATGATTCTTTCAATAAGGAAATTTTTAAGTATCTTATTTCAATTAATGGAGAAATCAAATCCTTTGTGATTAACTTTGGCTAATCCATGCGACTATGATTACATATTATTGTCAATTTTTAAATATCATTTCGGAATCGCTCTCCGTTCATAATCGAATGGACATACGCCTTGCTTAGCCTGTTTACCTTTGATTGCTTCACACTTAAAAAGTTAGCTATTATCTTATTCACTGGTGTAAGTGGTTCAGCGGAAGAACGCTCGCCAACCACGCCTCACTTGGTCGACGTTAGGGCGGTAGTAAGGCTGGTGAATCGGAAGGTTGGAAGTGAGACTAGCAATCCCACCCCGTAAAAGTAAAACCACTACTACCCAAACTTCAAAGCGCTAGCCCTATGTTCCACTGGGAACGTAAAGGAATAAAATAAATCAATAAATAATGATAAATATTATTATTTTATTCATCATAAAATTAAATATTTGTGAGAGATTATGAACCACTGGAGCTGCACTGAAATTGAATATGAAGAATTAATTGTAATTCGTCAGAATGAGTGTTTCAAAGGAAATAAGTTCAGAAACGATTTATTAACCAGGCTGCACAAGACAGCTGATATGACTCAGTGCCTCCTGTAAGTAGAAAAAAAAAATACCACTGTCCATAGTGTGTTGTCACGCAACAGTGTTCGACCTAATCTAATAATAACCAGTAAGACATCTATCTACAAGATACTGAAAGAATCAAATAAAAATCAAATCACATACCATTTGTATCCCATTACGAAATGCCATTTGAGCTAACTTTCCAGGCCCATCAACTGTTTTCCCATCATCTTCTGGACCCCAAGAGGCAGAATATACATCGATATGTTGTAATTGATGACTTAATGAACGTGATTCCATTGCATCAGTGACATCACCGTCTAGCATGCGTACACCGCCTATACGAGCCTTATAGGCTATACCAAGTCCACATACACTATTGTTTGCAGCTGCAGCTACTTCACCAGCACATCGTGTACCATGTCGACTAAAATAAAGACGAAGAGAATACAAAAAAAACAACATTGATTAGGAAATATTTTGTTGACATTTTCTATCTATTTCTAGAAAGAAATGAAGATATGAGGTAAAAGCATTTTAATTATTTAAATGATTTCCCATAAAGCTTGACTTCTCAAGGACTTGTTAGTTAGTAACCTCTCATCTCTTTTCCTTCAACTATGAAATATCATTAATATTCATGTAAAATTGAAACAAATAATAGAAAGGTCGTATTTACATTCACTTTATAAGCATAATCTAGAGCATATTTAATTGCAGAGATTTGTAACAAACTAAATATACACAAAAATAAACCAAACAAAAAACTCCAATTTGCATAGTGTGTGTGTGTTTAACTGATCTAAGAACCAGAAGAGATTCATGTGTACAAAACAGTCTTTTATAACTGTTCTCCTACTATCAGAGATAACGTTCCACTTTTTTGTAAGACTACTTGGATAGATCACAGAATACCGTGCTTGCACTTCTTATGTACAACAAAGACCTATTTGGAAGAGAAAAACGCTGCAGAATTGCACAAATAACTAAAACAAAGATAATTAATTTGAAAGACGGTAGCAGCTTAAAGTCGATTATTTATTTCAATCTAAAGATATTTAATATCGTGTTATTAAAATGGTGTAAAAAGTGACATATATAGACCTGATTTTCCCTCACCCTACACCTATGACCTTTGGAATCCTATAGGTTGTTCACTGTCTTAATTTATCGATGACATTAGTGCTTCTCAAGGTCAGTTTAAACATATATAATGCAAGCGCCGTCAACATTTTTTTGACAGTTGTTTTGAGACAGTAAAATCTCTCTTATCAACGTCCAGTCTTTTTCTTCTGTCTTCTCAGCCTGGCGATGTTATTATTATTGTTGTTTTTGTTGTTCTTGTTGACGTGCGATTAGGACAGACTAGCCAGCTCATTTAGTTAGAATCCGCTCATAGTCTACTAGGTCATAGTTCCGGTCATAACAAAAAGAGCTTCTTATTAAGACTTCTATAAGTATTCAGCTTAGGAAGTAAACCATAAAACAAAACCGAATCAGTGATCGTAAAAATTGTGTAACTTTTGGCCTGTAAGTATTTAGTTTATTTTGTGTACTGTCGCAGATTGGGACCATGTGTTATTGAGCTTTTGGTTGTATATTCAACCTTAGAACGATTTACACTAAGGATAGTGCTTAAACGAAGTATGGAAGGTTAACACATTGGGAGAAAATTAATAAAACAATCGACATGCATTCCAAAAAATAGTCCAGAGTGGTTGATTCTCTTCAATAACGATTTAGGAAATAGAATGAGGAGTTTGAAGAGGTAAATAAAATTTAAATGTACTGGGTTCGAAGCTCAGTGGGAACACCATCACTCATTGAAGAATGCAGGTACATCCAAGTGACGAGTCGCACACAGGATCTCATGCGCATCTTGGATTCTACTAACAGTTACCATCCACTGAATTGTCTAAATGTACGAAGGCTTTCCCTCTTAGGGAAAGTAAGTTTTAACTTCGCATAGGTTCATGAAAGACTTCCTCACATGCTAGATATCTAGCACACACATCAGATGAAGTATTACGCATCTAGGCTACTTCCTATGAAATAAAACTGTCATATTATGTAAAAAAAATAGTTAATTATACTTCATATCATTACTTTTCGACATAAAAACTCTTCCAAGAAGCGATGCTTTCAAACGTCTACAAAGCAATTAATAATTTATGAGGCTGTAGAAAGTAAACTTGGGGTAGAGTAAAAGAAATCAGTAGGAGGTTTGGTATACCTAGATTTCTTGAGAAAGTCAATCAAATATATATATATATATATGAAAAGTTTCTTGAATGTAATTAACTTATACCTAAATATCACATCATAATTATTAATTATTTGAGTTGACTTGGATTAGAAATTGTTGTTATGCAACACGTCAACCCGTCAGATATATCATCTGATGTAATAAAATGCAAAATCAATATGATCCGTAGGGAAACCAAAACTCAGAGTCACAAAAAGTGAAACAAGAATGCTCAGAGAAGAACTAAAGAGGATATTATGAAATTTAGCGGTACATATTATATGCATATATATATATATGCTTTAACACGATTCACTCGAAATCTGATAATTGCACCCTACCAGTGATAACTTTTAACAGGTATGCTTTGTTATGTTACTCCGTTTTACATTTTGTAACATAATTCAACAAGAACCAATAATATTTTGCATACTCCAACTTATTTCAAGTCATTTTTTAATAATCCAAATAAAATCTCAGTGTTATTCACATTTTGGTTTCCACTATCTCGAAAACGTATACATTCACGGAGTACAAATATGATAAAAAAAAGTCCAAGATACCCTGCGACTTTTTTTCCTTGACGTTCCCCAGTGGAACATAGGGCTTCAAGCTAGTGGCATGAAGTTTCTGTAGCAGTATTTATTTTACAGGATGGGGTTGCTAGCCTCATGCCCAACCTTTCTTCTTCACCAGCATTATTTCTGACTTAGCGAGCGAGGTAAAGGAGTGAGTCGGCCGGGATTCGAACCCCGGACCATGTGCATGGCTGGTGAGCGTCCTAACTGCTGTGCCACCGCACCCTGCGACTACTCAGCATTAATTTATAAGACGATGTTCTCAGTTATTAGTTGCACCTACATTATTACGATAGTAACATGACTATATCCAGCTGGAGGAAGTGATCAGCATGGTTTTCTTTTCAAGATAACTTTGACTTTCCCGTTGATTGACTGAATCAAAATGTTTGACCTCAAAGGGGGAAATCAAAATTGACTTATAAAACAAATAATAGCTTATATCCATTGCATAAAAGGTGGCTCTCATGGATCAAGAGGTCTAGTGGATAACGAACGCTTCAGCATTTGCAATGATGGGTAGTACTCTGGTTCGAGTCACAGTACGAACACCATCATTCACTGGGGGGAATGCAAGTGCATCCAACTGACTAGATCCAAATAGGACGAATTGTGCATCCTGGATTCCACTGCTAGTCACCATCCAGGAGTAAGTGGAAACAATTGGTGATATGGCTCAAAATCCACGTTCTCAATGGCTGGCAGGCACAGATGCATTCACTCCTTGTGATTAATAATATCCAATAAAATTCTATTGTTCTTCTATTTTTTTAATTCTAATATTTTTTTTTTGATTACAGCTTGATGCCACACCGTATTTTCAGTACAAGTATGGAATTTTCAGCATGGATATCGGTAGCCCAAATTTTGCAGGCCGACCATAGATATCAGGTGTGCGTCGGCAGGGGATCGAACCCCGGACCATGTGCATGGTGGGCGAGAGTCCTAACCACTGTGCCACCAAAGCACTACTATTCCTTTTGCCTCATATTTCTGTTTATTATCTCTCTCCCTCTCTTTATTCTCTTCTCTTGCTTTGTGTGATATATGGAGTGTGGCAACTTGCACTGCTGCACATCTGTGCAAAGTTCTACGTTGAAACCAGTCAGTCAGTCAGGTAGGCAGGCACCATCCACTATATTACTTCAATATGGAATTAGTTTATGCAAATCCATATACTTGACCTTTGATAGTTTAGACCTAGTTCGAACAATCTGTAAAACTGGTCTCCAACACTGTAATCAAAATGCTACACATCACATAATCAATCACTTAATCATCGAATCGACAACACTATTTATCAGTGTAGATTACTGATTTCTGGTTATATTTTACTAGAAAAGAAAAAAGCTATAAAATCAAAGGCAGGCGAGGGGGGGGGGTGGTGGTAGAAAGAATACAAAAATAGGCATAAATCATTATCAGTACAGTATATAGTGAATCAGTTGGAATAATGTTATGTATGCATACATAGTCTGAATAATATTTCAGTCAATATATAAACAATCATACTAGTAGAGATAAAACAATGTTGTAGTAGATTATTGACCTTAATAATTTAAACAGTTTGAATAATAAATTAATAAATAGTCTGAGATAATATCAAGAGGAAAAACAGAGAGAAATGTAGTAGTAGTACACAACACATTCAAGATTGTTTCCCTACTGAAAAAAGTAGGAATAGGTCTAAAAGACAAATGTATTGAACACAGTAGATACATGTTTTCGTAAACAAATCGAAAAGCTTTCAGACATGCTTATTTTTTTCTTCTTGGTAAACATGCTTTTTTATGTAGTCATTAATAATGACAAAAATACAAGACTGTCGATATAAAGTTAAATTATACAGGTAAACTGTTAAATATATACGCATTTAGGTGTAGTCACTGGTACCAGTACCCTTTCTTACGCTACACTAACGCTGCAGATATTTATCGAACTATCATTTTTTTAAAAGTTATCAAGTTTAATGAAAAAAAATGGGCTGCAACCTGGTTTAAGACAGAGACATTTGAAATAAGGAGGATTCAGTACTGCTTCAAAATTCATTTGTAAGAAACGACTGACAACTCCATCTTAATTTCGTTCCATCTATCAGATCTCTGTGTACAATAAAATATTTTTAATTGGAAGAGTAGACTCAGAAATTATAATATTCCATGTGATCTTTGTAACTGGATAAATTATAAAGTTAGGGAAATTGAAGTAATGATATCAGAGTGATTTTTTGTAGAACGAAGACATTACTAATGTATTTTGAGCTCAATACCCCGAACAAGCCGTTCAGGTTCCGGAATATAAACCACACTTATTGTGTGAGTAGTACTGATGATACTATGATAGCTGTCCAGAGTGAAGCACATGGAGCAGGACTCGAACTTAGGACTTACCGCCTGAAAGTTGAGTACCCAAGTCAATGGGCCACATATCCGCACAGACATTTCTAATCCATCCTAATCCAAATACTAAATAGAACATCATGCAAAACATTTTCACTTTAATTCTTTCTCTACCATGTCTTCCGAGCAGATTTTTCTAATCCTTGAATACAATGTACGTACCAGGTTTCTCTTTCGGATTAGTGGGACAAAGCTCTGGAAGTTC